GAACTCATCATGAGATGGGAGAATTGCTAAATAAATAACATCCTGGAAATTAAGAGCATTGAGTATTCATTTCAGATTCACCTGAAGGCTGGCTCAATTGTTTATCAATCAGAACATGTTGTAGTTCAATTTTTGTTACCCACTTTTTTTTTGACACACTCTAATTCTGGTAGTTGTGGTGTGTTACCATGTAAATGTTGCTCAGCTCAAATATTATTTTCACTCACCCTTTTCATCTGACTCCTCTGCCACCACCTCTGATGTGCTACTGTGAAACAAAGTAACAAATTAACATTTAACACAAGATACTTTCCAGTACACTTTGATTAGCTTACAAGTTTAGTGAAAACACTATCCGGTGGCAGATCAGACCTTGAGCTCAGGGGGGGAAGGGGGTGCTGGGTTTTTGACTCACTTGCCCTGCCAGCTTTTCTTTATTCTGCGATTCTTTTTTTTTTTACCCAAAATAAGGGGGGAGCCTGGGCCCTCCCAGGCACCTCCCCTAGATCTGCCACTGCTATCTTTGTGGTCTCGCATCTCCTCTCTGACTGGCCACTACTTGAGAGCAACCACAATCAACTCTGCTCTTCCTAATTAGCATAAAATTGTACATAAATTCTGCATCTGAAATAACAATTTGATAGTGTAGTCTGATGGTGTAAGTGAGAGCAGTGGTACTTCTGGTCCTACCAAGAATTGTTGTCATAAACAGTGACTCATTTTTTCAAAGAGATGTCATCGTCAAAGTCACAATTTGAGTCAGATGTGTGGCAAAGGTTGTCAAAACAGCAGTCCTCCTAAAGAGAACCCTGACCTGAATGTTAAGGCTACATGATAAAATGTACTCCTGAGTACAAACCAATTCTGTGTGAAATAACAGAAATGGTGCAAAATCAAACACCAGAAAATCCTTCTTCTAAATCACTGCAACACCATCATATAAAGCACAACTTTAAGCCTCCAATTTTTTACAACAAATCAGTGATGCAGCTTATCTGCTCTGGAAAAGGGTCACAAGTTTGCCCAAATTAACACTATTCAACAAAAATTTATAAGTCTTAATAGCATGCAAACAATTTTAGTATAAATATAAAAGGATAAATATCGATCATTGCTTTTGCAAGTTTTGCAAAAAAGAGGCACATTTTGATCATATATGCATAAGCTTATATTTCTTGCTGTTGAATGGTGTTAGATCTTCTTTGTTAAGAGTTTGACAGCACTTGAAAAAAAAAAAAAAACCCATCCCTAAGAGTAGATTTCCAGAAAGATTTTTTGAAAGCCTAGCATGATGAAAAAGGTTTTTCTTTATTGGCAAATGTAAGTCACTCTGATTGGTCACTTTCACATAAAACAGTTTATTGTCTTACCTTTCACATCCAGAGTCTTGCAATGACCACGAAAGACCAGAAGATGTGCTTTCGCCATAATCACTCTCTTGTGTGGGAGATCTTAGATGTGGTGGTCTGATAGAGTTGGTATTACTCTCAATATAATGTTTGTCCACATCATCCAGCACATCACTTCTATTGATATCTACAAGAATCTCCAACAGATCTTTACAGGTTGTTGTAGTGCACTGCCTGAGAAGTTCAATAGTTGGCTTGGAGACTTTTTCCAGTCGATGTATGATATTTGAGAAGCCAAGCCGAGAAGCTACCAATCGCCAATCATTGCCATTCTCTTTGTGATCATCAAGAGACTTTGCAAACTCATTCTTAACTTCCCAATCAAAGTCCTTTACAAGGTGTGGAAGCCTTGAACACTGCATTCACAAAAAAAAAATGACTGTGAATTTGCTATACTGGTTGCAAAGTCATCAATAAACGAATGAGCGGGGCTTCATTTTACATCACTCCCTACTCATGAAAACTATATGAATCAAGAAATGGGGAAAAAGGACAAGCTGTCAAGGCAATCATTACCATCAAATTTCATTCAACCTGTTGAATCCTTAGAAATTGCAATCTCCACAAGGTCTAACATTTATCTCAATTCAGGGATATTTCTTGGGTGCTGTTCTACGTTTAAATATTTTGTTTTCTATATTTTGCTACAGAATGAAAACCCTGTTTGTTTGTTGCTACAATTTTCTTGAAGTAAAAACATGTGAACTTTTACTTCCCGGTGAGCAGCTTTGGGAAATCTAGTCCAGAATCTCTGGAGCTGTGTGGCACCATTTCTTAGGACAAGAAAATGTTTCAGTTTTCTATGGGTTTATTGGCGGATAATACATAATGGATTTTCTACCAATCAGAGTGGCATACTGATATTTTTCATGTATATTTAGGATCGCTGACTGTTACAGATTTGTTATTACATCATATATGCTAGGAGCACTATGAATTTTGGTTATAGTTTGAGCACGATTTTGTCATCATGGTGAATATGAAGGTGTTAGTATAAAGGTTGGATTAAAGAAGGTTGCAATCCATCATGTCAAGCCAATTCTTGCACGAACAACATAACCAATCCAAAAAGTCATTTCCCTTGGAGAGGGATGCCAAACAAGTGACCCTTATTATGTGTAAAGCTTTCCCTCCCTGAAAAACTGCTATGGTTGTCTTATGTTGATTTGCCCATAGGACACATGAGATATAGCAAATATTATGGCTTGCTTCCTGTTCTTGAGAGGTAAGGGACCAAGCCTGGAAACTATATATTGAAAGTCACAGGAAACAATCACAGCAGATATTGTCTGCATATTGAATTACTTAAATTTTCTCACATGAGACATAAAAGTTTGTGACCCAAAACAACTTGTGATTGTTGGCTTTTAGCACCTTGACAGTGCTGACTGTTCTGTTGTAAAGCATGCAAGAAGCGGTTAGAGCGTGAAAGAAGTGTAAGGAGAAACATGAGACTTAGTCAAGTGTTTCTCCCCACTTCTTGAGTTACAATGCATGGAAATTGTAACTTAACTCCCCCCTTTCTAAACTCTACATTACTGTATACCCCTCCCATATTCTCAGTACCATCCATAGGAGAGAGGGATAGTATTACCAGGAAAATCTTAAATTTGAAATCAAAGAGTTAACATTTTTTTCTTTTTATATTTAATATATTTCTCTTGAAAATATATCTTCCAGTAAATCAGATAGAATATATAGGATTATGTGTTTTTCTTTGGATATTGATGTATAAAAAGTTCCTTTTTGGTTTTTCTATGACAGTGGGAGAATGAAAAATTCCTAAGTACCTTAGCCCCTGATAATGCTTTGCTCAGATACACTACCACTCAGTCACAAAGACTCTACATTGAGCTAGGTCATTGCTAGGTTCACATGCACTGTTTTACACACATCCTGTATACAGTAAAGATCAAGGTTAGGGTTAAGTGTTCTGTGTATAAATAGAATAAAAAATATGGTGAATTTTTTAACTTGGTGATGAAATATGGTAAGATATTTTTTTTGTCTTTTCACATGTATTGGACTATGAATTGAAAAAATTCTGAGTCCTCATGAGAAATTCTGAGTCATCATGGAAAATTCTCAGTCCCCATGAAGAATCAAACCACAGACTTTTGCCCTGCACTCCAATGTTCTCCAACTGACCTGACTGCTTTGATGCTCTACCTCTTAGTGGTAGAACACCTCTTTAAAGCAAGCATGAAGTAAACCTCAGGCATGCAAATTTCTATTGGGCAGATTTCTGATTATTACCCATGGCAAATTAAATTTGGTTTTGTATGATTTACAATTATGACAATCCTATTCCAGCTGTTTCCACAAGACTTAGGGATATAATACTCACCAGGAGTTGCATTTTAAGCATGGTGTCATTCCTGTCAGACAACTGCCTATGTAATGATACTTCGTTAGAGGATGAACCTCCACTCCAACTATGTATACATGTAATCAGAAACAAAAACAGTGAAACAGTCAAAACAACTAAATCATTCTATAATATTCATAACTCTCACATTTCATTTCGTTATGTCTATTATTTAACCCTTTCACTCCCAAGATCTTACTAGTAATTCTCCTTACTGTCTGCTATACAGTTCTTGTGATGTTAGTTTTAGTTAGGAGAATTTGGTATTTCATGGTCACTCAAGGGAGTTAAAGAGTTGACTCCAAAGAGTGACTAAGACACGATCCCTCCTCACATTATCAACATCAAGCAGAAAAGTAAAGAGAATAGAGAAAATAATTATATAGAAGATAGTTGGCTGATCCTATACTAAATTCTCCCAACTTTTATCATGAGAATAGCATGGCAGACAGAAAGGAGAATTACTAATGAGATCTTGGGAGTGAAGTTAGTAGAGGACTTTCAGTTTTCACCACAGACAAGACAACAATTGGAAGATCCAAGACTCTACACTCTTAGCATAGAAACAATCACGAGATACAATCACGAGGCATTCGAAATTAACCGTTCTTCTTTAGTGATCAATTGCAACCCGATGGAGGCAATTATCCGCCACAGACAGATCACGCTTGTGTTTGACTTCGTTATTACACCGATCGATCGATCAAGCGATTTCAGCAGTTTCCGTTCATCATTAATGCTCATTCGATCGCATCATCGAAAGAAAACGGGGCAATTTGAAGCCTTTCAAAATGATTTCCAAACCGAAAAGCAATAAAAAGACATAGATTATGTAAAGCCAACGTACTTATTAATTCGCGCCATAATAGTCAGGAAGAACTCGGAAATGTTATCAAGCGTAAAAAGTAAATGTAAGAGTATAACTAAATTATAAGAACTGGGAAATATTAAGAAAGCAAAATGATTTAACACTCACAAAAATCTCTACCACAGATTGCCAATTCTGGTCGGCTCATCGGCTAGAAATAAAAAGTGACATAATTTTATGTTATTTCTGCGAGGACAGAGTTTACTTTCGATTTAGCATTATAATATATTAGTACGTAACGTGTGATTGGTTGTTAGTCAAAGTCCTAATTTGGAAATGCTCTGGAAAAGACACCAACGGAATCGAATGTACTATCGCGGACAGAGTTAAGGGGAATCCCTTAATGGATTACCTCATCGCCATATGCATGATAAACGCACCATAATCAGTTTCATTACGACATATTTTGACACGAATGTTTATGAAATGTGACACCTGAGCTTGAAGTGTACCATGGCGGATGTCCGAGATGATTTTGCAAACTTATCCCTAAATGAAATAGCAGGAAATAGGCTACAATTGCTGGGCAAAATTCAGAAACAAATTCGTGTTGCAATTAGTTCTCTCGAGGCCGGAAGTGACTTGGTGACAAACGAGCAAGTTCGACGCATCTTACATCAAGTAAACAAGAATATTGATCTGATAAAAGCCTCGTGCAACGAACAAGGTATACATGTTTATAATTTTATTGTTATTTTTCATTTTATGTATCGGGAAGTAAAACTATCGTTTCTTACTTCGCCCGTTTTCCCCTGAGGTCTTATAAAGTTGTTTGGGGTTTGTTCAATCGCTTCCGAGAAAAGTTAATTCATCAAAAAGATAAATCGACAGTTTAGACTGGTATTACATCAAATTATGTTGTTGATCTGTTATTGTTGACCCGTTGTTGGTTTTACGAAAGTATGCTTTTAAATGGACAACTCAAATCATGTTTTTCCAATGGACGCCACGGGACAAATATTTCATATATCAAAACTTCCCGACACACTTTCGTTTTTCATTATTCCTTGGATGTTTTGGCGAAAATTGACGAAAATCGGTCAAGTCTATTTACCGTATATATTCGCTCAAAGTGATTGTATTCCTTCCAAAATCAAACGCGAGATTTTAGCTCTTCAAGGTTCGCAAACAACTCGCGCCACGCCAGGAGATTATTAGGGACCTTAAGCAAACCACGACAGCAACGGCAACCGGCAGAACAATAGCGCAGCACGTAAGTTTTAAAACTTTGTACATTTCTTAGCCGTCCTATACAAAACAACAACGTGAAATCGCCACAATTTGCGTCGTCTGCGAACCGAAACCGCGACGGCAAATTGTTTTAATTTCCATTTGGAACTCAACGCATCTTTTATACGTTATGCCGTAGTTGAGGTGTGGCGCCGTATGAGACGGTTAACACATGTAGCCATTTTTGAAATTCTAATTAAAGGCAGAAATTCATTTTTCAATCGAAGTCTTCCTTGGCGTTGCCGTCCTGATTGTTTAAGGTTCATATTATCTCGCCTCCTGAAACCGCAAACCAATACACGGCTTTCGAAAATGGCGGCACAGTGCGACCGGAGTTTGAAGACTGGTAACGAGTGCACTGAAACGAAGCATCAGAGGCCTGATCAAAACAAACATCTTTCACGTGTAGAGCGATCAACTTGTCAAAGTTTGGAAGTTTTATTATTACATCCTTTATAACGCTTTGAATTTGAAAAATCCACGCTGAATTACAATGTGAACAACTCAAGATTTCGATTGATTGGAAAATGGTGATTGTTTCAGGACAAATTTTCTCGTCGAAAGAGGGTCAAAAAATTTCTTATTTTATTTTCCCTACTGATAAATCTCAACGAAAACAATGGACTCATGCTATAAGGAGAGACGAAGGGAAAAACGTTCAGATAAGTGGATCCACTAAGGTATGCTCGAGGCATTTTAAAACGGAGGACTTTCAGAGATCGCTAAGTAGAAGTAAGATAAATCTCAAACCTGGAGTCGTTCCTACAGTATTTTCGTGGCGCACGTCTCCTCGTAAACGAAAGCCTCCGCCATTCAGACATTTAGTAGCAACGGGTTTAGACTATATCTCAGAAGCTGTTAGCGAGAATGAAGATAATTTCGAATTGATTGAACAGCCACCATCAAACGGACAACTCAGACTGAAGACAAAGTATTCGAAGACAAAGGATCTCAAACAGAATGTAACGCTTTAAATGTAATAATGGAAAAAGAGATTGCTGATTTGAAAGCCGAGATTGATAAACTTATGAAACAGAACGAAGCACTGAAAGCTAAACTATTCAATTTTGATAGATTTCGTTCCAAGTCATCGTCGATCAGCTTTTACACCGGATTTCCTGACTTTGAGGTGTTTAAAACAGTGTTTGACTTTCTTGATCCTGGCGAATATGGTCAAAACATTAGGTATAGGACATCTTTAAATACCGAGGAACCTTCACTAGATATTTACGACAACGAACACGGCAGTAAATCAGAAAAAGGACGCCCAAGAGCTCTTAAGGCAATTGTACTTAGTGATGTGTCGTCTAAGAGAAGGCTTTTCTGAAGAGCACTTGAGTAATCTGTTCCATATTTCATTATCAACAGTAAGCCGTATTGTTATATCCTGGGTCAATTTTATGTACCTTAAATTTGTTCAGATTAATATATGGCTCTCAAGAACAGTAATTGACAACACCATGCCAGAAGCTTTTAAAGCAAAATACTCAGCAACAAGGGTTATTACTGACTGCACTGAGGTACGATGCCAAATGCCAAGCAGTTTACAGTTTACAGCGACACAACTACAAAATGCAAGCAACACTTTACCAGAGATAATGCATATTGCAAGCTTAAGGTCATGATTGGCATCATTCTTTTTAAAACTGTGAGAGCATTTGGCTTTAAAATAGAACCCTCGTTGATCACTTGTTGTTATAATTTCGTGAAGATATTAATCTTGAAGAAAAGTCTGTGCTTTCCTCAAGTTGGTTGGAACGCTTGTGCTGTCTTTGTTGGGGATTTTTTTACCAGAATTTACAATGTGCTCGTCCATTTCAGCCTTTGTAAACAGTGGCATTTTCTCAAGAGAAGTACCCCAGTTTTCTTCGGAATATTTTACCGATCGAACTTGGCGCTCGCTGGAAAAGTTACTAGTAGTAGACTTGGTCAAAGAAAGTTTTCTTCGCGTGCACAGTTGATTTGGATCGGGATCCACGATTTGTTTATCTTTACCATTCTTGATGAATTCTTCGACTCTGTAAAAAAATATTGAACCGTTTTGATTAAACTTACATCAACTACATTAAAGAGTGAAGCTATAACTTGATATTTAGGAGGCAGGCGTACTATTTCACTAATCGAGCTCTTCGTGTATCTTACCTTTTCACGAGTTCTACTTTTGTTTTAAGTCCTTTTCCAGAGTCGCCTCGACACTTCAACCAAAATTTTAGTTCATCGTTTTTTAATTCTGTAGCATTTCAACCTTTAAGTGAGGCACCAGGAATGTCATCTTCGTTTAAGCTGATATTAGATGTCATTTTTTCACGATGTAAAGAAGATAAAAAGACACTAAAAACAGTAACAATTACCGCCACGCTGAAGAGAACGCTGTTGTTTGGCCTCTGATGCCTCACTTCCATGTTTCTCGTCTCCAGTCCCCCAGCGATCGAGCGTACTGTACCGCCATTTTTGAAAGCCGTGTACAGGACCACGGAACCTCCTGGCGTCATGACGATGGATCAAGATTGCCCGGGGAAAAGTAACCCATTGCAGACACTTTTTTTAATTTCGATCGCTTGGAGCGTTGAGGAGGGCGACACAATAATGAGCAAAGTTGCCAAAAGTAAAGAAAAACCCGCGACAAAAATGGAAAAACCGCAAAATGAGCCAAGTAGCAAGACAACGAAAATTAAATTCGAGGCGATTCTTAATGTTTTTTTTTCAAGGCTGGTACGGTAAAATTTCTGCAGAGCCCTATTTAACAAATAGAGAAGCCTTGACTGTGCTCTGTTCTGTTATAAAGCACGAAGGAAGCGGCTAGAGCACGAAAGAAGTGTAGGGAAAAACACGAGACGTAGTCGAGTGTTTTTTCCCCACTTCTTGAGTAAATTTTGTAACGTGTGCGCGCTGGAAGTGGAAGTAACATGAAAATCGAGCCGCAAGGCGCAACACCAGGCCCAACACGAGCGGTTGCCGCGAAAATTCCCCCCAGGGGATTCGCTCAGGCCAGAGATTACGACACCTTCCTGATATATTAACTTCTATTTAAAAATACGTTTCTCCAGATAACTCGTGTGCTTTTAAAGATTTCAGAAATGTTTTTTTTTATGGAAACGATAGTTTGAATGTTTGAATTCAGTTTTGTCAAATAAAATAAACATCGAGTTTTTCGGCCTCTGAAGGTGGGAAGTAACCTCAACCAATTGACCCCAAATAGTGACCAGCATCTAATTTCTCCTTACAATATCACCCCTGAAACAAACAGTTGGGTCACAAGAACAAAGGAAATTATCACCAACTGCAGAAGCTCTTGATTCTTAAACAAATTTCTCCTTGTCAACATCTTAAATGAAATTAAAGTTGATGTTTTCAGTGAATGACACAAGCGTACTAGGAGAAAAAGAACTCAGAGTGCTCTGATAGGATTAGTACACATATTTTGGATGCCTACCACTGAGCTACAGAGGACTTGTGGCAGGCTTGGCGGTTTAACCTTTTCCCCTGATGTCATTATACATATTCTCCATACTGCTCTTTATACATTTCCTAAGGTGCTGACAAGGAGAATTTGTTTACTGATTAAAAGCTTCCTGGTATGTGATTAATGTGATTCAGGGGTGATGTTGTAGGGAGAAATTAGATGCTAGTCACTCTTAGGGTTTATAATAAAGTTCGGATATAACGCGCGCTGTCATTGGTTGAAAGAGCGTGCTCTATGAGAGTATAGAGCATAGAGCTGAGCTACAGCTGTCACGCCATCTACCAATTGTACTATGTTCGACCTTTGCCGGGACTTCTTTTTAGCTTTTTTCCGATAATTGAAAGTGAAATTTCGGAACTGAAGCGAGCCGGCAAGTAGCAACAGAAGAATCAAACAAAGGTGATGAATTCAGTGTATGAGACAGGCAGAAGAGGAAGGAAATGTTCGGAGAACAGTATAGAAAAATGCACACGAATGTTAGGGCGTAAAGGGATCATTTACAATATTTATGACTGCAAATCAATATTTAATATATAAACAGAATGGGCTTTTGAACACAACTTTCCTTGCAGAGTCATCTGGTTTTAGGACTGTTGGGAAAGTAAGCCAGGATGAACTAGCAGCATGGGAGCCGCTAGGGGAAGGCGGATTTTCAAGTGTTTATAAAACTAAGCTTAAAGGGAATGATGTTGCTGTCAAAGTGTTAAAAAATCTTAAAGAAACAAGATCTCTGCTTACAGAAGGAAATCTATTAAGGTGAACTTTTAAACATCCTCATTTCCGCCCTTCCTATAGATAAAGTTTAATGTTACAGTCATTAGCTTAAAATATTGGTAACCTCTCTTCAAACCTTTTGTTGAAGTTGAGTGATTTTATTTGCCAAGTAAATTTATTTCAGTCTTTCTTATGCTTTTAGTCTGTTCTTGAGCCAAGTGGCTCACCCAGCTGAAGCTTGTCCTGATTTCCAAATCAAC